TTGTATCGTATGTGGTCATATGTCAACATTTGTAGCGTATGTGGTCATATGTCAACATTTGTAGCGTATGTGGTCATATGTCATCATTTGTAGCGTATGTGGTCATATGTCATCATTTGTAGCGTATGTGGTCATATGTCAACATTTGTAGCGTATATGGTCATATGTCAACATTTGTAGCGTATGTGGTCATATGTCAACATTTGTATCGTATGTGGTCATATGTCATCAGTTGTAGCGTATGTGGTCATATGTCATCATTTGTAGCGTATGTGGTCATATGTCAACTTTTGTAGCTTATGTGGTCGAATACCATAGTCGTTTTCATCTCATGGTGGGCCTATATTATCAGGCTCTAGAAACTAGTTTATCATACGTGTTAAATGTGGTCAGATTTCATTGTTTGAAGTAGCACCGGTGTCCGGGCATAAACCCCCTGGACAAAAACCCCTGTTTGTATGCCGTTGTATGCCGGCTGTTGTATGCCGGATGTTATATGCCGGCTGTTGTATGCCGGCTGTTGTATGCCGGCTGTTGTATATCGGCTGTTGTATATCGGCTGTTGTATATCGGCTGTTGTATGCCGGCTTCTTCATGCCGGCTGTTGTATGCCGGCTGTTGTATGCCGGCTGTTGTATGCCGGCTGTTAAATGCCGGCTTCTTCATGCCGGCTGTTGTATGCCGACCTCTGTATGCCGGCTGTTGTATGCCGGCTTCTGTTGTATGCTGGCTGTTGGATGCCTGGTGGGGACGTTGGATAACCCACATCACGTGACACCATGCCGTGATAGGCGAGTACCAGCAGACATTGCATTACTCTAATTAGCCATCTTACCTTTTTAGAAGATGATTACTCTAATTAGCCATCCTACCTTTTTTGAAGATGATTACTCTAATTAGCCATCCTACCTTTTTAGAAGATGATTACTCTAATTAGCCATCCTACCTTTTTAGCAATTTGTTTCCATCCATCTTAAAAGGAACCGGAAACAGCTGTTTCTTCTCTTGACGTCTGCCCAATTCCTGTCAGTCGTCTGCTGACGGCACGTGGACAATGAGAATTTGGGCGGTGAATACTTCTAGCCTTGCTGTTTTTCGTGCCGCGCATGCGCAGCAATTTCCATCTAAACATTCACAGGTTGAAATCAACTAATACAATCTTTCTCCTTAATCCAAATTATATATTTCTTTAATCCTTCTTTTATAATCTTTCTCCCTAATCAAACTTCAGACTTTTACAATTTTTCTAAAAAAAGCTCATAAAATGTCAGTCACCCCCCTAAACTTATATAAGCCTTTAGCCAACCATTCCCCACACCATATTTTCCTTTTTTTTTTAAGTTTTTTTTTCCTTAATGTCACATGGCTGGGTAAGGATCTGATGGATACCAAAATTATTGAATTGCTAGATCTAGTATTTACACGCGATTTCTTTCATTAAAACTTAAAAAGTTTTTTTTTTACCTGGCGTTTAACGTTACAGACGTATTTGTATTGCTTCTCCGATCAAAGTAAAGCAACCGGCCAAATAATGGTTCACGTTGTAACAAGGGAGGAAACTGGCAATAAAATAACAAACTCAACACGAATACTAACAAACATGTAGAACAATCTTAAAAATGCTGTTTAGTATAGTAGAAAATTTTAGGTATAAAATTAATATTGTTTTTTGAATAAATGTACAATTATATTTGTATAACAATTTAATATAGTCACATTATCTAAACTTAAAACCCTCAAATTTATCGCATAATTAAAACAAAGAGTCAGATAAATTTCACAATTATAATTGCTATATTTACATTGCCAAGGTTGACATTTCTGGAGACAGTACCAGCTCATTCATATTTCAAGATGCCTATGATTAAACTATAGAGTTCAGATGGAGAGGTATTTGAAGTTGATGTTGAGATTGCTAAACAATCTGTCACTATTAAAACCATGTTAGAAGATTTGGGTAAGGATGAGGATGAAGATGAATCTGTTTCACTACCTAATGTTAATGCTGCTATATTAAAGAAGGTAATTCAATGGTGTACCTTCCATCGGGATGACCCTCCACCACCTGAAGATGATGAAAACAAAGAAAAAAGAACAGATGATGTTTGCTCCTGGGATACAGAATTTCTTAAAGTTGACCAGGGCACCTTGTTTGAGTTGATTTTGGCTGCCAACTACTTAGATATCAAAGGCTAGCTTGATGTAACTTGCAAAACTGTAGCAAATATGATCAAAGGGAAGTCCCCAGAGGAAATCAGGAAAAAATTTAACATTAAAAATGATTTCACACCAGCAGAGGAAGAACAAGTAAGAAAGGAAAATGAGTGGTGTGAAGAAAAGTAGATCAGAATACTCCGGCCAGAGCATCACAGTACCCAATAATACCTTTTTTAAATTAAGTTTTATTATAATGTGATAACACTCAGACTTAATCTTGTTGTTTACCTTGTATATAAGTGAGGTGTGTGAGTTGACTTGGACCGTGAGCTTTGTAATTTATTTGTGTTTTTTTTTAAATTAGGTATGCAACAATTTTAGGAGAGAAAGGCATTATTAAACACTTAAATTATTTTGAGAAAGCTTCAAACATTAAAATTTCTGTTGAGTTTTCCATCCTTGATGAGTTTATTGCAATGTTGATTTAGATTTCTTTTACGCATTTTTTAGTTTTCACCTACTAAACCAATGACCAATATTGCTTTAGTTGAATAAAATTGAAATAAAGTTTTTGAAAAAAATAATAAAAAAATTAAAAAAAAAAAAATATATATATATATTTATTTATTTAATAACAAAAGATAAACAAGATGGCTGCTATAGTAAATGAGCATGGTTGCATCTGTTGGAAACATCGCTAGTCTTCATTTATTACTGAAAAGTTTTAATTTAATTGTTTAAAAACAGATTTGCCTAGTTTCATTACCAGTATCTTGAAGAAAACGCTAGCAAGAACGCTAGCAAGAAGTTGAGATGCCTAAATCTAAAGAATATCTCAGCTCTTCAGAGTCAGACTCAGGAAGTGGTGATTCTGAGCCTACAAACTTTTAAATAACTACGTTCAATTATTATGTTTATTATTTATTAATTTTTTGGCAGCTATTGTAAACACTTATGCATGCATTTTCAATTCATTTGAAGAGTTTGTAATTTATTGGAAGTTGCTTCCCTTGTGTACCTAAATTGTGTAAAATACATTTTACCTTTTGAACTTTACGACACACTTGAGATTCAACACTAGTAACTTTATGATGCTTTATTAGTTAGTTTATAAATTATACACATGGTAATAAAATATTAAGTGTTACCGCCCCCCCCCCCCCTCCCTCGGATATGCCTGAAAAAAATGGTAATTTATACCTGTAAATCAAGCTATCTGTGAGCAGGTATACACTTAAGGAACGGTAACCACATAAACTCGCTGCTTTTGGCTTTAAACGCGGTTGTCTCTCTTTGCAGAGCTATTTTTATCTCCGTCTATGAAAAAATAACAAATTAAAGTCATTTCTGGCTGACTTCTGACTGGGCGATGACAGAATGTCAGGATTCCGGCAGACGGCGACTAAATGACTAAGTTATGACTTCATGATGACTAAATGATTTGGTTCTGACTAGTTTTAGACTCAATGACTTGGATGTATTAGTACAAGAATTATGTAGGCCTACTTGAACATAATTAAAGTAAAACTTTTAAACATAAACACAATTAAATAAATACATGCAAACACATGCAAGTATAGGTCTATAGACATACGCATACAAATAAACAAATTTACTTTAAGAAGCATGGGTTGCTAATGAATTTTAGTAAGTTTATTCAATACATGATATAGCGAACAATTTTTAAAGAAAACGATTTGTTCCTCTTTTTATTTCTTTTATAAAAGCTTGTTGTTAGGATCGTTTTTACTCCATTTTAGTTTTTACAGTTCTATAAATTTAACAATCAAATCGTATAACTAAAAACACAGGAAACGCGAAAAGATTATTATTTCATATAGCATTTTTTTAAATTAATCAAACACCTAATAATGTCAATGTTTATAATACATTACATTGTCATCGGGTATTGACCTACATTTTAGTTTGAAAAAATTGGTTCGCATGTCATGACGAAAAGGCGAGGATTTATCTTTAAAAAATCTTTTAATCTAAAATACTCTTTTTAATTACGTAAATAATAATGCAATATTTACAAATAAATTTAAATAACTTAACAATAGATTACGCATATTTGTGGATTAATTAAATATTTATTCTAGTAACGGGTCTCTTTTTTTCTCCGTAATGAATGTACTTCTAATAGTTCTTTAATATAGGCATCTCAAATATTACATCTGTAATACAAAATCCCCATACTCCAATCTTGAAATGTTATTTCTGTAAGTGACCCATGTGCCGAATTCTTCAATATCAGCCCCCCCCCCCCCCAACAACCCCCAGTTTTTGCATGGTGCACGATCTGGGTGCCACCCGCCGGTCGTCTGGTTATCTCCCATCTCCCCGCTTCTCCCCCCTAGATTCTCCCCCTTTGGTCGCGTTACTTCCGAGTGTGCCCCGAGAGCGAAAATTTGTGGCTTTGCTTTATGTCGTAGGGGCTTCTCTTTCCCATGCCAGACTTGAGTAGCATCTTTTGATTTCTCCGTGACTAGAGGATACTGGCTGATAAGTCACGCAGTTTTTAGATAGCTGTCTCGTATGGGCAGACTTCGGGATTTTACATTGTTATGTAAGGTTATTCTCGAGATGCTAGTTAAACTATTCTTTTGTTTTATGTCAATAATGTGTATATATAGGTTTTTATAGCTAGATTGTGGGATGGTTGATTAAATAATAAAAATATCGTTTTGAAATGAGGTATTACGATTTTTAAGATTGAAAATTTAAAGTTTTGAAACAAAAATGAAGTTGTGAAGTAAGAATCGAGTGATGTTCGTGGTGTGTTCGTAAACTTTGTGGCCGGCCTGGATTTACCCAACAACCTGCAACGCAATGTTCAGCAGACGAGATAGAAGGATATTGGGTCAAGGGGTCAGTCTACAAACTGGCGCCGTGTGGAATACCATGATGCTCATCTTTGTGGCCAGTTTTCTCAGTTCATTAATGGCTGTTGCCAGGTAAGGGTTCATTAATATGTAATTAGTTATTAATTATCTTGTTGTTACCACCCACCCCGTTAACTCATCAAACAGCAGAAAGCAGCGTATGTGGGGAATTAATAGTTTAAAATCATATTTCATTCAACCATACAACATAAATATATACATTATATATATATATATATATATATATATATATATATATATATATATATATATATTATATGCTATAAGATCGATATTTTAAAAATGTTCTGAACTTGGAGATAAAGAAAATGATGTGCAAAAGAAAATAAGCTCTCAGATCTAAATAAATACACCAACTATTTTATTAAAATTGACAAACCACCTTCGTTGTTACCAATTAAGTTTCAAAGGTCAATTACTCTCAAGTAACAAAAAAACTAAAGTTTAAAAAATATCTATGAAAAGATGTTTTGATGAAATATTTTACTTTTATGTTTCTGTAGTTAAATTCCCCGACGATATACCATCTAGTCAATGTTGAAAGACTTTGGAACATCATCCACCTCAATACAATTTGTATCAGGAAACCAACAACATAAAATTATTAGAGTGCCAGCAACACATACGGCCGCTTGGTGAAAACTCTAGCACCATAACGCACCCTTACGCACCACATCGTACCATCCCGCATCATCTCGCACCACAGCACACCATACCGCACCATACGACACTTTCCCGCACCACTCCGCACCAATCTACCACAAGCCAACAGTTACATCACAGCTTTGATGAAGGGTGAAGTTCAGACACTAAAAAATCGTTGATGTGATTTTAAAATACACGTACACTAGTGATTCCCCTTGATTGGAAGACCCATACTGTAGAAGTGGGAGGGTGCGAAGGGGTGTGGGTGTGAGTAGGGGTGTGGTGTGTGGAACGAGAAGAATTGTAGGCTATTTTTTTACAACCTGCAACCGGAAACAACGGAGACTGCTGAATGAAAACGCTCCGTGCTAGCTAGCGAGGTCTCTGTACCAAAAAATTACATTTTGATTGCCAGATTTTTGGTGAATTGGAATTCAAATTGTTGGCCAGCTTGGCTAATTTCTTTTCTTGTGTCTAACTTCTTAATGGCAGGAGTCGCACACAGTTCTGCATTTAATACTTCCATCAGTTTTACGCACAAAATGTTACATTAGTTTTACGCACAATTCTGCACTCAATAATTACATGTGTCTCTACACTCGAATATTGCTATATTTTTATTTTCTTTATTTAAATAGAGTTTAGTCTATACATTTAAAACATCCACCATATTATTTTAACTTAAGTCCGTATCTTCAAGTTCTCCACAATATATTGCTGAAGATACTGATCTCTTAGGCTCGGGACATGCGGTCAGAGAAATAGATCGAGAGAGAGAGCGCGAGAGAGAGAGAGAGAGAGAGAGAGAGAGAGAGAGAGAGAGAGCGAGAGAGACAGAGAGAGAGAGACGTGCGCACATGGGCTTTTATATATTAGGATTCCACACTCAGCACATTTAGAAAAATGTCTTCCACTGTTAGAAATAAATTTAAAGTTTTTGACTAGATTTTTAAAAAATGGCGCTTTGGGTCCGTATGGACAGGATCAAAATACTAAATGTATATATGTAAATGTATATATATTAAGGGCAGTTCGTGAATTTTGAAGTATATTTATATCATTCGCACCTCTCCGGTGAGTGGGTGATGAATGAAAACAGAAATTGGGGTCATGAACTTGATGTGGTTTTAGGATTTATTAAATAGGTCTCGGCGTGTAACTACAGAAAAAATATTTTAAAAAATACAAAAACAAATGTAATAAATGTAGACTGAAACAAAGTTGGTGTAAAAAAAAAGTTGGTTTAAAATTAAATTTAACAGTCACTCATAATATATTTATACATTTATTTTTCAATGTACGTTGCAGTTTCTACTTATAAATATTTAAATAGAACATTTCGGACAAGAATAAATTAGTCTATTGGAGTTTAGCCTTGCCTTGTACGTGTACATATCTCCACTTATTGTATTAGTAGGCTTGTACTGGGACTTCATTGGAAGTAAGTTTTTCGAACTATTTAAATTTTGTGGACGTTCACACCGGGGTGGAGGGGGGGGGGGGGGGGGGGAGGCGGGAGAGACCTTCATTGGACTGAATGTTGACTCGTAAGTTGTTGAATTTAGCGTACATACATTAAGACCAATGTATGTTGGTAGCTTTTGTAATGACTGTTTTAATGCTTTACACCTAATATCAATGATTGTTTTAATGCTTTACACCTAATATCAATGACTGTTTTAATGCTTTACACCTAATATCAATGATTGTTTTAATGCTTTACACCTAATATCAATTATTGTTTTAATGCTTTACACCTAATATCAATAATTGTTTTAATGCTTTACACCTAATATCAATAATTAACGACAACAACAATCACGGATAAGTATAACAATCCTAACTGTCGTTATCCATCTAAACAAGTATCAACCTTAAATGATTATTTACAACCCGTATAAAACACTGTTCACTTATATTTACTAGTTTATAAAGGACTAGCAATAAAAAAAAACCTACTATGAACTATTTACCCTTCTCCCCATTAAAATACTACCAGTAAGAAAAAACGCTGTTAACAAATGTTTACCCTTCACTCCATTAAAATACAGGCAGTAAGAAAATACCCGAGAAGTCTATCGATTTTTCAACGGCCAGACTTTTCTTTGATAATCTCAAAATGTTTTTTTTCTTGTATCCCCAGGCCAAAAGGTTAAAAAAATCGATAGTGTTGTACTAATCGGCTGCTTAAAAATTGTTTGGAAACAAATGTGGGTGTGGGTGTAGGTGTTGGGGTAGATGTGGGGGTAGGTTTGGTGATAAACTGGCTAGTCCTTACCAACTGAAAAAAAACAATATGTCTATCCAAGGGGAGATTAATCGACATTTTAACACGAAACCTTTTTTTTATAACAAGTCAAAGGCCGTCTTTGCTGTCGATTTTAAAACAGATTTGGGTCGTAGGGTGCTGCAGTAGCTCCAAAGTTTCCGATATGAAAATAAATTGGTACGGAACACACGTCATACTGAGGTATAAAATGTTGTTGTCATACTGAGGTATTGTCCAGTCTACTCAAGTTGAATTTTCTGGACCCCCCCCCCCCCCCCCCACACACACACAATCTTCATGTGGACAAGTGTCTTGATATTATTTTACTTCATTTCTTTTGTGAAAAAAATCTTTCCATACAATGAAAACACGGACGTTTTAAAATCGCTGTAGACCGTCAGTGACAACAGCTGCTACTAACTGGCTAGTAACGTCTCGTAGACGGTCCTAGGACCTTTGACCATAGGGGCTTTGACCATATGGGGTTTGACCACAGCGGGGCTTTGACCACAGGTGGTCTATCAACTGGTGTTTGATCACAAGCGCTGCGTCCGGCTTTGATCATAGGTTTTTTGTCCACATAGGGTCTTTGATCTCAGGGGGTTTGTCCAATGCTGTCCATATATGGTAAGGATTTATTTTAAAACTTGCTAAATTATATTTTAAATTTCGACATGATGTAATAATATGTTAAATCATCATGTATAAATGCAAGTCATCTAAACTACTCTATGTCAAAACCATGGAGAATCTTGGAGAGTATAGCCCAATGCGTGATACGCAAGGTACATGAAGTTGGGCTGAAAGTGGAATATGAAACAAATAGCGATATACGTATCGTTGTTCGTTGTCTTGCCGCCCAATCTCATGTGCCAGTCCAAGATGTTACACAAGCGTTCGAATTGTTAACAGATTCTACGCCAGCAGTGGACAACATCGTCGAGGTAGTGACATACTTCGAACACACCTACATCCCAGGTCGTCGCATCGGTGGTCGTGGCGAAAAGTATAAGCTTGCTTTGTTTTCAAGTTGAAACTTGGAATCAAATGCACACGATTGGCGATGGTGTAGCACGAACAGGGGCGTAGCGAGGGGGGGGGGGGGGGGGGGGGCGGGGGTGCGGACCGCACCGGGTGACACCATTTAGGGGGGTGACACCAAGGAAAAAAAATAGCAAAATATATAGAGAAAAACTCGAGGGGGGGGGGGGTGCAAATCGAAAGTTTGAGGGGGGGTGCAAATCGAAAGTTTGAGGCGGGGGGGGTGCAAATCGAAAACTCGAGGGGGAGGGGTGCAAATCGAAAGTTTGAGGGGGGGGGTGCAAATCGAAAATTTGAAAGTTTGTCCCTGGGAAGGGTCTCTATGCCTCTGGGGGGGTGACACCATTAAGTGCCGCACCGGGTGACACCCGACCTCGTTACGCCACTGAGCACGAACAAATAACATTTGTGAAGGATGGCATTACAGTCTTCAGTCTCTCCTCCAATGTAGTCACCCAACAATGTGGCGTTTCCTTGAAGGTCTACAGATGGACTGCACACGGCAAAAGACAACTTTCTTGCAAGGTGTCGCAGTAGCAAGCTACCCAGCTGAGAAGCGATACAAGATGCTGCACGAAAAAGTACAACGTGCTGTCCAGACATATGGTCAAACAGATGTACTGACATATTTGCGTGCTATAGCACATCTGTCATTTAGTTAACCATTTTATGTATTACATCTTTGACTATATTGTTGGCACGTTTTTTATCATTTTTTATCCTTTATATATGCTATGTATTTTCAAGTACATCTACATTATTTATTTGTGAAACTTGTTATATGTCGCATTATTCAACTTTCATTTATATTTAAAATAAATCTATGACGCCTAGACTAAAATATAGTACTTGGCTTTTTTAAAAATGCATGTTAATTTATTTTAACGTACTCTCATGAAACATGTATAAAATCGTGTTAATTGTATCACACCTATGATCAAAGCCGGACACAGCGCTTGTGATCAAACACCAGTTGATAGACCACCTGTGATCAAAGACCCTCTGCTGAGAAAACACCTGTGGTCAAACCCCCTATGATCAAACCCCCTATGGTCAAAGCACCGCTATGGTCAAAGGCCCGCTGTGGTCAAACCCC